AAAACTCAACTTGTTTTCCCTAATTCCATTTTGGGGACGGGGAAGATTATTACTGCTTGCTGTTGCTGCCCACACAGAGTTCGGGGAGGGGGGAGAGCAGAAATTAGAGGTTATAGCAAAGCAAATAAATGTTTCCAGTGGTTGGATTAACTGTGGACGGAAGCAATTCAGTTTGTATTAAAATCTTGTGGACTGACTGTGATGGGGGCAACTGGGCTGCTCTGAAGTCTTTCTGTTTAGATGTTTGGAGGAATTTGTTGATGGCTATTTCAATCGTTTCTCCTCCCTAAAGACACGATTCCACTCCATGACTGAAGAGGCAGGACTGAAAAGGACCGTAGCTCAGTGGTAGAACATCTGTTTTCCACCCAGAAGGTCTCAAATTAAACCCCTGACAATCCTCAGGTAGGACTGGGAGACAACCCTCATTGAATCCTGGAGGGTAAGTGCCAGTAAGTGCAGGCAATACCAAGCTAAAGGAACCAATGGTTTGACCCATCTTCCTAAGTCTCTATGTCTTGGCACTTCAGGTAGCCACTTCTGCATCACCCAAAAGAGAGAGCAAAAGAGGACATGTATTTGCATCTGCTAATGCACCTCTGTAGATTAGTTCTTTTAGTTTTAATTCAGTGGTGGGGAACCTCTGGCCTCCAGGCTAAATTAAGTCCATTTGGGGTCCTAATTGGTCAGGTGAGGTTGTTTCCCTCAAGCCATGCCCACCTGCCTTGCACCTAACATTAGGTGTGATGTCAGGTGTTGGGCAGGTACAGAGCCTCCAAGTGTCCCTATTTTCCAGGGAAGTCCTTGATTTAGAGAAGCCATCTTGGTTTCTGATTTGATTCCAGAATGTCCAGCTTTCCCTTAGGACAGGCATCCCCAACCTGCGGCCCTCCAGATGTTTTGGCCTACAACTCCCATGATCCCTAGCTAACAGGACCAGTGGTCAGAGATGATGGGAATTGTAGTCCAAAACATCTGGAGGGCCAAAGGTTGGGGAAGCCTGCCTTAGGATGTTCCTATTTTCATCAGAGAAATGTTGGAGGGTATGGAGTTATCAACCCCCGTCTGAAAGCAATCCTGTATAGGGAAGTTTTTTAAAAAATGTTTAATGTTTTATTATGTTTTTATATATGTTGGAAACTGCTCAGAGTGGCTGGGGCAACCCAGTAAGATGTGTGGTGTATAAATAGTAAAATTATCATTGTGGAATGGGACGTCCCTATTTTCATCAAAGAAATGTTGGAAGTTATGCAGGTAATCCCATTTCCCACCATATAATGCATTTTTGTAGGTTATATTCACTTACATGTGCATTTAATCCACACTTTACCTCAGTATATGCATTTTTGTACATATTTACTTGACGGGAGAACTGCATTGCAAAATTTGTTGGGGAGCAAATTTCAAAGGATGGTTGTATTTTGTTTCCATTATTGTTTTGGAAAACGTGGATCAGATAGGTTTGCCTTTAAATGCAAACTGAATTGAATTTCTACCCTATCCCTCAGAGGAGGACTGAATGGACTCTTCAGGTCAGGTGGGTGCAGAAACTGTGGCCCCCGAGAAGCTGTTGGACTCCCATCAGCCCCTGCCAACATGACCAGCAGCAAGGGGTGATGGGAGCAATTGTCCTTGTTACAAGGCACTGTATAGGGTCCAAAAGTAAATCTGCATACGCTCCAGCATTTCTCTGATGAAAATAGGAACACCCTGAGGAAAAGTGGGATGTTCCAAGATCAAATCAAAAACCGGGACAGCTTCTATAAATCTGGGACTGTCCCTGAAAAATAGGGACACCTGGAGGGTCTGAATAAGGGGTCTCACACACAAGGAATAAGAAGTTTGATGGCCAGAATGTCAACAGGTGAATCTTTACTTCTTCACACAGCGCATAAACTCTGGAATTTGTTCCCACAAGAGGTAGTGATAGCCATCCACTTGGATGGCTTTTCATGCTCTCTGAGTATGAAATGCTGTGGGGGTAAGGAAGGAAAACAGGCAGTGGGAGGAGGGATGGAGGGACTGGAACCCGGAACAGCAGCACTCCACAATGCAACATTTTCTTGCACATCCCACAATACAGTGGATGCTCGGGTTGTGAACGTGATCTGTGCGGGATGCACATTCGCAACCCGCAGCATTTGGAGCCTGCGTCTGCGCATCTGCGCATGTGCAGGTTGTGATTCGGTGCTTCTGAGCATGTGCAAAGCGCGATTTAGCACTTCTGCACATGAGCGACTGCCGAAACCCGGAAGTAACCCGTTCCGGTACTTCTGGGTTTCAGTGGTCCGCAACCCGAAATAACGCAACCTGAAGTGGCTGTAACCCGAGGTATGACTGTAGTAGAATCCAAAGGATGGAAGGGCCTGGAAAACAACAACAACAACTCAAACCCAAGCAGCCTCACCTCTGCCCTTGAAAAATCTGGCCACAGTAGGGGGATCTGGATGCTTCGCAAGTAGGCCTTGTGCCTTATCTTTTTTCACCTTGATGGGAGCCGAGCTCTTTTGAAAACACAACTGCTGTGAAGCGGAACTGCTCTGTGAAATCAAGTTCCACCACGGATCAGCAGTCAAATCTACAGATCCATCCCATGCCTGTAAACACATGCCAAAATCTGGCATCTTCCACCCTTTCTGAGTAATAGCCGATCCCGCTGCAAACCCTTAACATGTGACCTGCCTTTCTTGCTTTCAGCTAGTCAGTTATCCCCCCCTTCTATTTAAAGATCTGTTCTCCCCCTGCTCTCCCCCCTCCCCACTCTCTACATCTCTTGTGCAATCTGGTTATGATTACGGCTTACAGCCACCCGCAGCTTGATAAACTTATAACAGCTGCATTGCAGGAAATCACCCGCAATTCAACCCTGATGTTGTATGGATGTATTTAGTTAACTCAGGCTTTTAACATTTGTGTGTGTGTGTGTGTGTGTGTGTGCATGCATGTGTTGTGTGGGTGCGTGCATGTGCACTTGCGCACAGGCACACAAAACACCTTTCATGAGTTTTGACTTGAGAGATCAAACGGCTAACAATGTGTTGATCCGGGGTTGCTTTCCCAATGATGTATTGTATCATTTTGGAGAATTATGAGGGTCCGAGGTTTTCGTTTGCTAATGTATCAAAGTTGATAGGCGAATGGGGGGTAAAGCTGCGTCCTGGGAGAGGAAGCTATTAACAGCTACGCCTGGAACATTTGGAGGGTCGCACTGCGTCATAGCTATTGGGTTTATTGAACATTAAGTTATATTCTTCCCCCCTCCCCTAAACAAAGGAAATGAGTTCCTATAATCTACTGCTTTGAGCCACGTCCTCTGCGGGGTAATGAAAAATGACCTACCCCATTTGATAGGAGACTGTTTGCAGGCCATGCATCATCACAAGAATGGACGCTATTCAACAAATAAAATTATTATTTCTTCCCTGAGCACTGAGTCGCAGCCCTTCGTAGAGGAATTATGTATTACCAAGCTGTTGAGTGTTTGCCTAAAAGGAACATACAGTGGGGGGGGGGGGAGAGCCAACTTCAGCACTGGCTGCCTGTTCCCTTCTGGGTACGATCCAAGAAGCTGCTTGTTACACACAAAGCCTTGAACAATTCAGGCCAGTGTTGGGTCCCTGCAACCCTTCATCCTGCCCCCCTCCCCACCCATTGGCTATGCTACTTGGGGGTTGTAGGAAATTGAAGCCTGCCAGTATTTGGAGAGCCACGGGTTCCCCACCACAAGCGGACACCCCAAATACTTCTACAGTGGTACCTTGGTTGTCAAACTTAATCCGTTCCGGGAGTCCGTTCAACTCCCAGAACCATTCGAAAACCAAGGCGCGGCTTCCAATTGGCTGCAGGAGCTTTCTGCACTCACTCGGAAACCACAGAAGCCACACTGGACATTCGACTTCTAAAAAAACATTTGCAAACCGGAACGCTCATTTCTGGGTTTGCGGCATTCGGGAGCTGATTTGTTCGGCAGCCAAGCTGTTCGACAATCAAGGTACCACTGTATTTCTTTTTTTAAGGCTCTATTTTTTAATTGCCATTTCCCACACAGAATGGTTATTGACATGAGAACATGCAAAATGCAGGAAGAATGATGAGTGTAACAAATAAAAATGTAAGGGGAGAGGAAAACCGGATATAACTGAGAGTGCAATGCCTCATACAGTTATCACATATAAGAAGAAAAGGGTGAGATAATTTAGTTCTCAGTATAGTGGTACCTCGGGTTAAGAACTTAATTCGTTCTGAAGGTCCATTCTTAACCTGAAACTGTTCTTAACCTGAGACACCACTTTAGCTAATGGGGCCTCCCGCTGTGCCGCCGCCGCTGCACGATTTCTGTTCTCATCCTGAAGCAAAGTCCTTAACCCTAGGTACTATTTCTGGGTTAGCAGAGTCTGTAACCTGAAGCGTCTGTAACCTGAAGTGTCTGTAATCCGAGGTACCACTGTAAAGTCTTTCTGTATATTTATCTGTGGAGCAGGGGGTTTAGTGGGCTCTGCGTATGAAATATACTTGAGTTGAGTGTAGTTTTCATGCTCTTTATTTCAGCTCATGGTCAACAGTGAATGAGTTTCCCCCCAAAACCTCTGGCTATATATACATTATTTACAAAATGGGTCCTGCATGTTTGGCTGATTCAACTCCGCTCCTGGAGCCTGATTGGGCTGCTCCTGCAGGCCAATCAGGATGCTGATTCACTTCCTCTTGGAGCCGGATTGGGCGGCTCCTGCAGACCAATCAAGTTGCTGCCTTCTAGCATCCTACCTGCCTATTGTTCTAGGATCCAAGCTCAGCACATAACAGCGTACAAGTTAACATAGGAGAAAAACTGATACCAAGTCAAATAAAAGTGGACTGTTTTTGATGAACCGTTAAGGACTCTCCGTGTGTCAAGAGTTCTGACCGTGCAAGGTCCCATGCTTTTACTAGGCAATCCTAGGGGGTGAGTCAGACTCTCCCAGTGCAAATAGCAGCTAGCAGGTCCCTGATTTTAGTGAAAGGCCACAGCTCAGTGGTAGAACATCTGCTTTGAATGCAGAAAGAAGGTCTCAGGTTCAATTCCTGGTATCTCTGGGTAGGGCAAGGAGGAAACCATGTCAGAAGTTCTGGAGAGCTTCCACCAGTCATTATAGACATTATTCAAGTGAATGTCCATGAAAGTCCCCTGCAGACCTTTCCCATTCACCATGGGAAGTCTAGGGCCAGCGGATGAGAACAGGGACATTGGGGTGGAGGTGGGGTTGTGTATGTTGCCCATGCTCTTGCCCCCCACTTCTAAAAATTTCATATTCAGGCAAACTCCTCAGCATGGCTTGGGGAGCAACAAGCTTGCCAGGGCCAGCCCTGTTGTTAGGTACAGTGAGGCAGCTGCCTCAGGCAGCAGATGTTATTGGGAGTGGAGTGAGAATGGAAGGACGTGCCATCTTGTCCTTTGCTTCTTGGCAGCAAAATGACTTTGCCCAGCCCTGAAGAGTCCCACCAAGTCGGCCACAAGAGTAGTTGCAAACTGGTTCAAGTCGTTTTGCACTTCTGAGCCTGTGCTTGTTCCTCAGTACAGGATGATTCTGAAGTAGGAGAAACCATAAACTTTTTGTTGTTGTTCTTGACGGAATGTGCATGTGAGTGACATGGAACTATTAAACATACATTAAATCAAATTCAGGGCGGAGGGAGGGACACACACACACGCACAGATACAGATGCATTGAATAGCCCCCAAGCAACAGAAAGCTGGTCAGTCAATTTGGATCTGCTAGTTTTTAACATTCCACAAACTGAATAAAAATGTGTATCCAATTACATTCTATGAAAGGGTCTTGCTTATGAGGAAAAACTTTTGTGGTCAGGTCGCACTTTTCCATTTGTTTCTTGACCAGATTCAACTTGCAGTGTGTGAGAGAGTGTTTCTGTGTAAGATGGAGAGGCAGCCTTCCTTCCTTCCTTCCTTCCTTCCTTCCTTCCTTCCTTCCTTCCTTCCTTCCTTCCTTCCCTCCTTCCTTCCTTCCTTCCTTCCTTCCTTCCTTCCTTCCCTCCTAGAATTCCCCAAGTGATGAACCTAGCACTAGTACAGTTCCATTACAACTCCTAATGAAGTGCATTTAAAATATAAATGTCACATAAAATACAATATCAAACCATTAAGTCTTTTAAAACGTACATATATTGAAGCATTTGCAAGTCAAGCTTGGGCAGGTCTCTTTCAAGAGCAGATTTTGTTGGTTAATGATTGTGATGATGTTATTCTTTATGTGTGTGTGAAGTGTTCTATAATTTTTTATGCCTTTCTTTTTTCATCACCCCTTCGAGGTTGGCAAACAAGCCCATTGGCTCACAACCAGATTCTCCCAATGTCGCTGGGTGGTTTTGTACATTACACTGATTTGGGGAAGTGAAGAAGTGCAGCTGAATTGTGCTCCATCTTAGTGCACTGCTAGTAGAATGCACAAAAAAGAACTTACGGAGAGAGGCCCGTAATCTTCAGCTGTGGGAAAAACATGCACGTATCACTATTCCACCACCATGGTTTGCTGAGCCCATGGTTTGTTGCTGCTGTTAAATTTATTACCTGCCCTTCATCAGCAGGTTGCAGGCTGAGTTACAACAGTTTAAAATTCAGTATTAAAAACAATTAAAGCAAATTGCAATCACAGAAGTAGTCTGGGTCTTGAAAACCCAGTGGCGGGTCTTCAGCATTTGTTGGGAAGGAACTCCACAACCTAGGGGCTGCTATAGAGAATGCCCTCTTCCAGGCCACCTTCCCCAAAGTTTGAGGGCAGTGGATCTACCAAGAGGGCCCTCTCTACTGATATTAACATCCAAGAGGGTCTCTAGAGAAGGAGTCAGTTTCTCAGATATTTGGGTCCTAAGTCAGTCTGCATGTAAGCTGATGTTCTCTGTGACTACTAGACTGGCATTCATTTACCAAATTTGGATCTAAATTAGTTTATGAGGTTGTAAGCCATGCCTTCAGATTTTGAAAAATTAAGTGAGTTCTGCAGAGGTGGAAACATCTTTGATTTATTTATTTACAGCTGTCTGCCAAATCAACCTCTTAGATCAGTTCCTTCTCCTTATTTTCACTCTGTTGTCCCGTCCCTGCCAGTGAATAGCTCCTCCATAGAAACAGTAACACATTAACTTTGTTGGCGTTATATTCTTGGCTGATCAACTGAAAAGTTCTGAGAGAAGCACAAACACCTCTTGGGTCACTGTGAGCGGAGACCTTTTGGCTCGGGAGTGTAATTAAAAGTGCTGGGGAATGTTGCTAACCTCGCTTTTCAAAAACAAATGCCATGTGTTTACTCTGACACGAGGTATTGTGGAAATATTCGGAATACTTCTTGGGCTTAAAAGAAATGCGGAGGAGAAAATGTTCTGCTTCAAAACAATATATATATTCTGAAATGTTGTTTTTTTCCAGCCACGTTGAAGCTGAGCATATGGAAGAAGTGCCCGGGAGCCTTCTTGATACAGGTTTACTCTTTATTTTGGTACATTTATATGTTGCATTTTTGCCAGGGCAGTCAAGGTGTTGAGTAGATAAATAGTAGATAAATAGATACCATGAGCAAATAAATAGGTATCGCTGCGGCGGGAAGGTAAACGGCATTTTCCTGTGCTCCGGCACTCGTCATGGTATCTCATGCGCCAGAAACGGTTTAGTTATGCTGGCCACCAGAAAGCTGTCTCTAGACAAATGCCAGCTCCCTTGGCCTGATAGTGGAGAGGAGCGCCACACCCCATAGTCAAATTCCATTGGACTTAACTACCCAGGGGTCCTTTACCTTACCTTTTTACCAAGGTCTAAACCACTGAGCCTCTTGGGCTTGCCGATCAGAAGGTTGGCGGTTCGAATCCCCATGACGTGGTGAGCTCTTGCTGCTCTGTCCCAGCTTCTGCCAACCTAGCAGTTTGAAAGCACACCAGTGCAAGTAGATAAATAGGTACCGCTGCGGTGGGAAGGTAAATGGCATTTCCGTGTGCTCTAGTTTCCATCAGAGTGTCCTGTTGTGCCAGAAGTGGTTTAGTCATGCTGGCCACATGACCCGGAAAGCTGTCTGTGGACAAACGCCGGTTCCCTCAGCCTGAAAGTGAGATGAATGCCGCAACCTCATAGTAGCCTTTGACTGGACTTTACCATCCAGGGGTCCTTTTACCTTTTACCTTATCTTTTTACCAAGGTAGTGACAATTTAAAACAATGGCATATAATCTGACACAATATGAATCAGGAAGATGGAAACAAGCAAATTTTGGGGAACATTTAATATGACGTAAGAGCTCCATGACTGAAACATGTGATGTCTGCTGGAGGCACTATTTGGTTTGGAGCTATAGGATGTGAATGGAGCTTAACTCTTTCGCTTTGCCAGGACAGGCTCTAGGATTGAGTGAAGTCCTTGGCAAAGTGTCCTCTTTTTGTGGGCTCCTTCCTACGTCAGTGGGCCCCTCCTGGTTGTTTAATGGTGGTGGCATTCAGTGGATAACATTGGCAAGTTAGCTGGGTCAGGGAGCTGGCATTTAAACATTTCCCACAATGCCCTGGAGTAGTGCAATGTTGGGAGCATTGCAGGAAATTAAAATGGCAGCTCCTGCACTTGGGCACTGTTTACAGGGGGAGCCCAGGGACAGCCTAAGTTTCCTGTATGCTGACATCAGGCCTGTCCCTCACAATGATTCTCCAATGAAAATCACCCCATGAAAATTGCTATTAGCTGTGGAGGAGAGAGCATACTGGCCCCATACGCTGACTACTCTTCCTTGCCCTCCTGCTCCCCCCAGCTAATAGCAGGTTCACTGTAAGTGTGTGAGGTGACGTGCGGGTAAAGAGTTTGGTCGTAATCATGCTTGTCTTTGGCTCACTTTTGGGCAACAAATCACGAAACTCCAACGTCATACCTAGTTTGTCTCTCAAGCTCCGATTCTTTATGCCAGGAAGGATTCCCAAATGTACTTTTTAACTGCACCTGAACAACCATGTATCATCCACTGAAAAATGCAGTGAAAGTTGTTAGCAAAGTCACTTAAATAACAGATGGAGTGCAAAAAAGGAAAGAAATCCTGATGACACTTCACTGGATAAATGGAGCAAAACCAGCATATAATATGAGGAGAAATAAACAAGAGAAGTTTTCACTTTCTTAGTAGTCAGGCCTTGTGCATGGCAAGAAGACACATTCAGAGGAAAACTCCTTCAGACAATGCAAATGACCAGAGCACATGTTACCTCAGCAAGGCTCATGCAATTCTGACAGGCTGCTAGAAAACACTTCACCCTTTCATTGGCTGTCTGTAAACAGAATTATTAACCCTTAGGTTACTAACCAAATGATCCCTGCTGTTGTACATCGAACCAAAAGTAAGCAAATCATTGCTATAATATGACTTACAATTGATTCTTCCTCTGTGTTTGTTTGGGCATTGAGTATACATAGAATCATAGAATCATAGAATCATAGAGTTGGAAGAGACCACAAGGGCCATCGAGTCCAACCCCCTGCCAAGCAGGAACACCATCAGAGCACTCCTGACATATGGTTGTCAAGCCTCTGCTTAAAGACCTCCAAAGAAGGAGACTCCACCACACTCCTTGGCAGCAAATTCCACTGTCGAACAGCTCTTACTGTCAGGAAGTTCTTCCTAATGTTTAGGTGGAATCTTCTTTCTTGTAGTTTGGATCCATTGCTCCGTGTCCGCTTCTCTGGAGCAGCAGAAAACAACCTTTCTCCCTCCTCTATGTGACATCCTTTTATATATTTGAACATGGCTATCATATCACCCCTTAACCTCCTCTTCTCCAGGCTAAACATGCCCAGCTCTCTTAGCCGTTCCTCATAAGGCATCGTTTCCAGGCCTTTGACCATTTTGGTTGCCCTCCTCTGGACACGTTCCAGTTTGTCAATGTCCTTCTTGAACTGTGGTGCCCAGAACTGGACACAGTACTCCAGGTGAGGTCTGACCAGAGCAGAATACAGTGGCACTATTACTTCCCTTGATCTAGATGCTATACTCCTATTGATGCAGCCCAGAATTGCATTGGCTTTTTTAGCTGCCGCGTCACACTGTTGGCTCATG